CCTCTCTTTCAAAAGTAAAAGAAACACTCCTTCCCTGGTACACAATCTCCCCACACCCCTCCCACCGCCCCAAGTACATTCCACTATGCAACCTTAAATGTGGACTCTTGGGATAACCATAATACCCTATCGTACATCGCTTTTAAATTATTCACGCCTCATCTGTTTCAGTGCAGTATACACAATTTATCCAGTTTTTCTCAGTCTTACCCCAACCCTGATATCAGTCCTATTTCACAACAGTGGCACCATGCAATATGTCATTTTGTGACTGAGATATTTCACTCAGCATAATGTCCTCCAGGGTCACCCACTTTGAATAATAGTGCATGAGTTTCTTGTTTTTCAATGCAGCATAGTATTCCATTGTGTGACTATACTACAGCTTCTCTATCCATTCCTTTGTTGATGGGCACCAGGGTTGTTTCCAGCTCCTTGCTAATGTGAACAGAGTAGTGATAAACATGGGTGTGCATATATCTGCTTGGATGTCAGTTATGGTCTCTTTGGGGTATATTCCCAGCAGTGGAATTGCTGGGTCAAATGGTATCTCTATTTGCAACTTTTTGAGAAAGCGCCACACCACTTTCCTCAGTGGTTGCACCATTTTACAGTTCCACCAACAGTGAATAAAGGTTCCAGTCTTTCCACAACGTCGCCAGCATTTGTTGCTTGCTGTTCTGTTAAATTTTGCTATTCTCACTGGGGTGATATGATATCTCATAGTTGTCTTGATTTGCATCTCTCTTAGAGCTAGGGATTTTGAACATTTCTTCATGTGCTTGTTCGCCATCTGAATGTTGTCTTTGGTGAAGTGTCTGTTCATATATCCTGTGCCCATTTTTCGATTGGATTATTTACCTTTATCTTGTTGTGGTGCAAACATGTATTTTTTAATTGCTTATTTTTCCAGAAGGTCAACATACTTTACAAAAATGCACAGTTGAGTGAATTTTCACAAAAAGAACAACCTTTCTGTATGACAACTAGAAATTCCTTTTTAATCAATAGCTTTCTATTATGTGACTAACATTTTCTAATGTCTAACATCATTGGTTAATTCTGCCTGTTTTTGAAATGTAAATATATGGAATTATATAATACATGTGATTACTATATAAATTTAAATTTTTTACTAATACTTTAATGAGAGTTTACAGAAAACTTGTATTTCCATTCATTCATTGTTGCCCAGTTTCCTCCCTCTCTCAGCCCCCCAGTCCAATTTGCTATGCGCCTCTTATTCTGACTTGTTAAGCAAATAATACCTAATCATGTATTCCTTTTAAACAGTTTCTTTTTTTTT